TCTTCCCCTCAGGCCCTTCAATGTCCATCTCTGGCCCCTCAATGTCCACTTTGGGCCCTTTCAGGTGGACATCAGGCACACTCAGGTCCCCCTCGAGTTTTGGCCCGGACAGGTCCATGTCCATCCCTCCCTTCCCCTTGGGACCTTTGAGGTTCCAGTCCAGGTCGGGCATGGAGAGGTTTGGAGCTTTGATGTTCATCTCAGGCATCTTAAATTTGGGCCCTTTGATCTTCCCTTTGGGCCCTTCCATGTCGAGCTCAGGAGTTTCCACGTCCACTTCGGGGCCTTTCAGGTCCACCTGGGGCAGGTTCACATCCACGTCCCCCTTGACCTTGGGGCCCTTCAGGTTGAGGTCGATGTCAGGCATGGAGATCTTGGGGGCTTTGATGTTCATCTCAGGCATCTTGAATTTGGGGCCTTTAATCTTCCCCTCAGGCCCCTCAATGTCCAACTCTGGACCCTCAATGTTCACTTTGGGCCCGGAGATGTCCAGATCTGCTGATGGCAGGTCGATTTTCCCCTCTGGGCCCTCAATGTCCACACTTGGCACCTCAACGTCCACCTTGGGGAGGGAAACATCAACATCTCCTTTGGGCAGGGTCACATCCACCTCTGGACCTTCTGCCTTCACTCCAGGGACACCAAACTTGGGCATCTTGAACTTGGGGAACTTGACCTTCCCCTCTGGGCCGTGGATGTCCACGTCAGGGGCCTCAATGTCCACCTTGGGGCCCTTGATGTCCAGCTCAGGCCCCTTCAGCTCCCCTTCCAGCCTGGGGCTGGACAGGTCCAACTCCCCTTTCATCTTGTGCCCCTTGAGGTTCAGCTCCACGTCAGGCATCGACATTTTGGGGGAGGAGATTCCCAGGAAAGGCATTTTGAACTTGGAGCCTTTGGATTTGGCCTGGAGATCAACATCTGGAGCTTGAAGCTCAACCTTCGGCCCTGACCCCTCCACCTCCGGTTTCTTCAGCTTCACATCCACCTCAGGACTTTGAACTTTGGGGCTAGAAAAGCCAAATTTGGGGAGTTTAAACCTGGATTTTTTACCTTTGCCTTCCAGGTCAACTTTGGGGCCTTCAAGCTCAAGCTCTGGAGATTTGAGGTCCAACTTGGGCCCTTTCAGCTCTCCCTCGACTTTGGGAAGAGAAGCATCGATGTCCCCCTTGACCTTGGGGCCCTTGAGGTTGAGGTCGATGTCAGGCATGGAGATCTTGGGGACATTGAACTGCATCTCAGGCATCTTCAGCTTGGGGCCCTTCAGCTTCCCCTCAGGCCCTTCAAGGTCCACGTCAGGAAGGGAAACGTCAACTTTGGGGCCTGAGACAGAGACATCGACGTCAGGGAGGGTCACGTCCACCTCTGGACCTTCTGCCTTCACTCCAGGGACACCAAACTTGGGCATCTTGAACTTGGGGAACTTG